GGGAAATGGGGCTCTCCCTGGGAGGTATCAAGAGAGACTTATCACCTTGTCTGCACTTAATACTGATTGAGGGAGAGGAAAGACTCCAGATAAAACAGAAATTTCCTGGAGTTTTGATATATTGAGGGAAGAATACTTTAAAAAGGAGCCTTGGAATTTGTTATACTAGCTTGCAGAATTCATGTTCTCGATTATATTATTAGGAAATTTTATGCTCAACTTTTACAATTTAAATCTGAGGTCCAGATGCCCATGTTTCCTGTTACTTCTTCATATAATTGTCTGTGAGGCAGGTAGTAATTCTAAAAAAGCATTATTATTCCTGGAATCAGTTGTAGTTCATTGTTAGTTTCTAATAAAGGAACTTAACTGCACTCTGAAACATAACATCATAATTTAACAAGCATTGAGTATAAAATTGTGGGATTCAGTATGGGTGCGGCTATATGATGTTTGTTGATTGAATCTGGACCAGATGGTATTGAAGAGCATGTATTTAGAGTAATTGCTTTTGTCCGGAAAGGATCATATGTGGATGGAGCTCGAGGTGGGACACATCATATACAGGAAGGAATGTGTTGGCGTTGGGCTTGCTTGGGGCATTTTGCCTTTTCATTGCATCTTGTTTTCTGTTCTCAGCTTTTGAAAGCATTGGAAAATGAAATAATGAAAACAAAACGACACATTTATTGTTTAATTAGTTACACCTGTATGTTGTTTTAAAGCTCTTAAGAATAGGGAAGTATTGCTTCTGTTTTTGTTTACATTTTAAAAACTAACTTTAAACTTAGCAAGGAAAGGAAATGTCATAGATTGCTTGCTCTAAGCTATATTCCTTGATGACTTACATGTGTCCGCTTGCTTCTCTGGTTAATTGTTTACTTCTGCTTTATAAAAATATGTGTAATTTAAAAAATTTAATTTCTAATGTGTCCTTGTGAGGAATGGTTGATGTCCAATAATTTAACCTTAGCATCACAGGATTTTAAAGCTGAAAAGATAATTTAGAGAAAATAGATTTTAATCTTTTATTTAATTAATGAGATAACTGATGGCCAAAGAGGCAGTTTTATATAAAGTGACACCTGAGCTAGTGGCAGATATAGGACCATGGAGGACTGGTTGGATTAATAGGATGGCTCCAGGGATCTTTAAAATTGCAAGCTCTGATATTCATTTAACATCTGAAGGCCTATGGCTGACAGCTTTGGCAAATCTGATTTGCACATTGTTCTTTGTTCCTTTCTGACAGTCTACTATACTTTATCTTCTCACATATCTACAAACAAATGAATAAAGTTGGATTTAGGCTTATTTAAAACATGTTCTTTCATATGTCTGAGAGAACTCTTTTAAGGATAGGGGTTTTGTCTTATTCTATCGGGCCTTCTGGTCTCAAATGTTACTCACATTCTTGTCCCTAGGCCTTTGTTTATGTTGTTTCTTCTGCCTGGAATACTCTGCTGCCTCTTTGTCCTTAATTCCCATGTTATCTGTTTAACATCAACTCATTTTTCTTTTTCCTTTATTGATTTTAGAGAGAGAGGAAGGGAGAGGGAGAGAGAGATAGAAACATCAACGAGAGAGAACATTGATTGGCAGCCTCCTGCATGCCTCCCACTGGGGATCGGGCCCACAACCTGGACATGTGTCCTGACCAGGAATTGAACAGGCGACCTCTTGATGCAGGGTTGACGCTCAACCACTGAGCCACACTGGCCGGACCATCAACTCATTTTCAAGTCTTCTTGAACTTGGACACACCTTTTAGTCTCATTATTTGTGAAATAAAGGAATGTACTGAATTATTTCTGTGAGGGCTATCTAAACTGTCACTAATCACTACTAAACTGAATTAGATGTCCCTGACACGAGCTGAGATGAGCACCTCATTGACTTTCATCCTGTCTTCTTTTCTAATATCTGTCACTATCCTTGGAAGTATAGCTTTAGTAGCAGCTGACAAATTTTCATGTTATATTTCATATATTTTATGTAAATATGTTTATCTCTCATTTGGGTTTGTTAAGTTGTGCTGTGTTCATCACAGAATCAATCTTTGTACTTAACTTTTTTTTTTTTTTTTTGTTAATCCAAACCTGAAGATATTTTTCCATTGATTTTTAGATAGAATGGAAGGAAGGGAAGGAGAGAGGGAGGGAGGAAAAGAGAGAGAGAGAGAGGGAAACATCAATGTGAGAGAGACAAACTGATTGGCTACTTCCTGCATGACCCAACTGGGTCCCAAGGATCAAACCTGCAACCCAGGTACGTGGCCTGTACCAGAAATCGAACCCATGACCCTTCGGTTCATGGTCCGACACTCTAACCGCTGAGCCAAACCGGCCAGGGTGTACTTTATTATTCTTTAGTTTTTGAAAACTCAAGTCTTCTTCATTCTTTTGCCTTTTCTGTCTCCTCTGGGAACTACTGTTGTTTTTTTTGATCCTCATAGACCTTGAGTTTTTGCCCAGCTTTTAATTATGTAGTTTGTATTTGAAAGTGCAGAGGTTTTGTTGTTTTATAAATATGTACTAATTTTATAATATTGTATCTTTTTTAAAACCATATATTGCCTGCTGTTTCCCAACCCCTTCTTCAAAAGAAAATAATTGGTCTCCTTTATTGTCAGATTTTATGCTTACGTGACATATATGTGGCTGGAAAATTATTAGATCACTTTCCTTGTTTCAGCTTTTAGTATTTCGGTACTGGTATGAGTGAGGTATCTGGTCTAAATTAGAAATGTTGGCAAGTATTGCCATATAGTTACTTGGGACATGAAGAACTGAGATTCTTCTGGTCTTTTGAGTACTTCCATTTATGGAAGATTTTTTTAAGAAACTGCTTAAATTCTTTCAGGCCACCAAGGTGCTATTTAATACAACACAGCACCTTATTACTGAAGTTTTGTTTATTTAGTTTTCTATGCTACTGCACCATTTAACTAAAAAGAATGTTGGGCTGCAAAACAACCGAACTTAACATAAACTTTTATTTTTGTGTCAAGACCTATGAAGGGTCTGAGATTTTATTCTACTTGCAAGCTAGCAAGTAAGTTTCACAATGCTTGCAGAAGCCACAATATTTCTGGGTCAGAGTCAAAGGACAGAGTATTATTTACAGTAGCAGAAGTAGCCAAGGCAGCAGCATTTTGCTACCAGTTCTTTGAGCCTCAGTTTTCACAGAGTGACACAGAAGGCTGGGTGACATCTGAGTCCATCCAAGGTGGCATTGCAGGAGGAGAACCTTGAAATAAGGGAACCTGAATCTTTTGTAATGGTCAGTAAACATGTGTGCCCTTTGCTTTGGAGGGAGTCTCTGTCTTCCTGTATATAAACATCCTTGAACAGATAGTCTAGATTGGAAGCAGTTAGTGCTTCTGCTTGAAAGATAAGCAGAAATGCAAGAGAGATGTGAAGAATTGCCTTTCAACATTTTGGAAGGCAGAAACACCAAATGAGTATTTGTAAGATAGATCTAAATATGTGACTTACAGACTTTAGATCGCAGAGGATGATGCCAGAAATTTTCCCTAGAAAGTAGTGAAATTTTACAAAAATCCCTGGTTTCCTCTTTTGTAGCTTTTTTTTCCAGTTAACCTACTCTCTTAGAGACCTCCATGTATATGAGGCTCACATTGATAGTTTCTGGGAAAGATTATTATTGGTCTATTTTCTGAGAGTCTTTTACTATTTACTTTTACTATTTGTTGTTTTGTTTTTTTAATTAGTCAAAGATATCCAACCTTGTGTTTGGGGGAGTTTGTGTTTGCCTTTCTTGCATCAATGCTTCTGTTTTCTATAAAAGTTCAATAAGCAAAAGCAAGTAAAATGGCAAGTAAAATCATTTTAATTTAGGAAAGATTCACTGACACATAATATTTTAGATAAAAGACATTAAAAAATGATGGAGCAAGCTGGTGTCCCAGGGCAGTCAGATATTCAGACTGGGGTTCTAAGAGGTCTCAGAGACTAAAATTCTTCATATTGGAAATTCTTTGTGTACTGGGACACAAATGTAGTGGTGCCTCATTAAAAAGACCCTACTGCGAAGAGCACCTAGGGACAGTGCTGTGCCCTTTGGACTGGAGGTCCGTCTCACAGATCAGAAGGCTTGAAATCTGGCAACTTAGTTTTTGTGGGGATGAGGTTGGGACCGTTAGTCCTGTCAGTGTTTAAATTCCAAGCAAATAGCAAAGAAAAGGACACAGCATCTTTTACTTTCCAGGTCAGCTGTAAAGTATGGTCTGTTGTAAGTTATTTAGGATCTCTCTGAGTTTGACTTGGTGGACCACCCTTTTGGCTCCTGCAGTATTTTACTGTTTTGTTTCTGCTCCTCCATCTCTTTCTAATAATGCCCTTTCTCTTTTTAAACCACCTTTTCTTACTGTGCTCTTCAGATGATAGGCTGTCCTGAGAGTGAGACTCTAGTCCTCATTCTTCCATCCCTGCTCCCTGCACGCGTCCCCTCACAGGTCCCTTCCATCCTATAATAGCACATAGCTCTGAAGTCTGGCTACCTCTTGAATTCCCAAACCGCATTTCCAGACCGCCAACGGACTATTTCCTTTAAGATGTTCTGCCAATACCTCACCAAACTTGTAGCTCTGGTTTGAATATATTGACAAGAAGTCCAGAGGCAAAAGATATATTATTATTTTAACATTTTACTCCAAACAGATTATTTTGACGAACCTTTATGGTCCTTTTTTGTGGATGTCATTTTATTTTATTTCACATTTGTAAAGTATCTATCTTTTCATATTTCATATCAGTTTGTTGTATTTTCCCTGCCAAAGTAAGCACTTGGAGTTTTGCCTTTATCCCCCGAATTCTTCCGTCTTCCTCCACCTTCCCTCCCCCCCACACACACACAAGCACAACACATTGGAAATGCTATGATATGCATGAAGTTTGGGGTTATTATTTTTGATGGTTATGGTTCAGTCTATATTTATGGGGTAAAAGATAAATCTTGTGTTACTTTTCTCTTTGCAGGCCTCTATGCCTTGCGGAGAGTCCTGAAGAAACAGCCTGACCTCCCTGACAGCAAGGTGGCCGCATTGGTGAAGATCACTCTGAATGATTTCTTACAGGGAATGAATGATGTCAGGCCCAGTGCCATGAGAGAGGTTGCAGTTGATGTCCCAAGTGTAAGTCATTTGTACCCCCATGTAAGCCACATTGTTTGTATTAAACTCTGAAAGAAACTGAGCCACCAGGGAAACTACCTTCCTAGACTAAATTTTTGTGGAGATAATTGTAGATTCAGTGCATTTCTAAGGAATACTATAAGGCTATCCTGTGTGTCATTTGCCAAGTTTCCCCTGAAGGTAACATCTGCAGAACTAGAATCCAGTATTACAATCAGTATATTTATATTATAATCACTGATCTTATTCAGATTTTCCCTGTATTACTTGTATTCCTTTATGTGTGTCTGTGTGCGTATACATGTGTATATTTACATCTGTGCAGTTTTATTACATGTAAAGGTTGTGTATCTGTTGCCAGAATTGAGATGCTAAAAAGCTCTACCGCCACATTGGCCCCTTGCTTTGCCCTGTTATAGTCACACCCGCCTTGTTTCTGCACCCATCTCTAAAATTCTATCATTTCAGAAATGTTACTAATGGAATTACACAGCATGGAGCAGTTCGAGATTAGGTTGTTTCACTTGGCACAACTCTCTGGAGATGCATCCAAATTATTATTATGTGTATCAATAGTTTGTTTCTTTCTCTTGCTGAGTAGTAGTCTGTGGTGTGTATGTACCATGTTTTAACCATTCGCCTATTTGTCAAAGGGTATCTGGGCTGTTTCCAGTTTGGGGCTATTGTGAATAAAGCTGTTGCGAACATTGCTGTACAGGTTTGGTGTGAACGTCCGTTTTCATTTCTCTGGGATAAATGCCCATGGGTGCTGTTGTTGGGTAGTATACTTACTGCATGTTTAGTTTTATCAGAAAATGTCAACTAGGCTAAGTTTAGAACAAAAATATCTTCTAGTTATGATGCCTTCTACTAACGATGCTTGATGGTTCTTTGGGTCTTTTTTCATATACTTTATCATAGACAGTCTTTGCAAAGTTCTCAGTCCAATCACCACAAGGGCAAGAAGTTTCCTTTTCCGCGTGGGTCATATCTTATATCCCCCATATCCCAAGTGGGCCTTTTTTATTAATATTTTGGGAAAATAACACTGAAACAAAGCATTGGCAATGTGTCCTGTGTTGTATTGAGGTAGAGGGTGGGCCACTAAGCTTGCCTAGACTGTAAGGAGCATGTGTGCGTCTCAGTGCTACTCGAGGGAAGTTAGCGGGTTGCGCTCTGTCCGTTTGAGGAGAGCTCTGATAGAAGAGTGGAATTTTGGGACTGTTCTTTCCCTTTGCCTCTATAATGTACCATTTAAGTCTCTCTTTTGAGGTAATCCTGTTGCTGCTGAGACACTTATGAAAGCTCTAACATTATAGCTATTTGAAAACTTAGAGCCATGTTAGAGAGTCAGATGTAGTTTTGAACCCTTTGTCTCATTGTGTATTGACATGCCAATATTCACAGTTTTCTTGGAAATTAACATTTTTTAATTGTAAGCTAAAAAAATAAAATAAAAGACTCAAAAGATAGGAAGTCAATGGCAGGAACCATATAGTGAGAAGAAATCAGTGGGCTTGTTTTCACTTTTTAAAGTGACTGTTCCGCCCTGGCCAGTTTGGCTCAGTGGTTAGAGCGTCGGCCTGTGGTCTGGAGAGACCCGGGTTCGGTTCCCGCTAAGGGCACGTACTTCGGTTGCAGTTTGTCCCCGGCCCTGGTTGGTCGTGCGGGTGGCAGCCACTCGATGTGTCCCTTCACGTCGATGTTTCTCTCTCTCTCCCTTCCTCTCTCTCCCTCCCTCCCACTCTATCTGTACAAAAAACGGAAAAATATCCTTGGGTGAGGATTAAAAAAAAACAAAAAAATAAAAAAATAAAGTGACTGTTCCTTGAAAAATGTCTCTTATGGTCAAATAAGTTTGGGAAATGCTGGTTTAAATAAAATCAACTGTATTTCTTTGCTTCAGGACTTCTCAGAATCTTTTAATACACTAATATGTATTATGAAGTGTCGAAAGAGCTCTTATGGAAACTTATTTGGCCATGGACCTTGTGGAGCAGAGACTGTGCATTTTGCAGGGTGGTAGATTTCAAAAAATGACCCCAGACTCTTCCCATCACTGTGTGTTTGCCCTTTGCACTGCAACTTTGTAGCTCCTACCATAAAAGAGATGGAGTCAAGTTTTCTACCCTTTGAATCTGTACTTGGCCATGTAACTTGCTTTGGACAATAGGATATTTTTTGTTGAGGAAATATTTTATTTTTTATTATATTTCTTAATCTTCACCCGAGGACATTTTTTTATTTATCGTCAGATAGAGGGGGAGGGAGAGAGTGGGAGAGAAAGAGAAATATCGATGTGAGAGAGACACATCGACTGGTTGCCTCCTGCATGACCCCATCCAGGGCCAGGGACAGCTGCAACTGAGGTCCTTGCCCTTGACCGGAACTGAACCCCCAACACTTTGGTCCGAGGCCCGATGTTCTGACCACTGAGCTAGACCAGCCAGGGCTGGCCAGTAGTATAACAATCATGATGCAGGTAGGCTTGAAAGCATTTATGGCTTGCCTGCTCTTGCTGCTCTTTGAGACCCTGTGTTAGCCATGTGAAGAAATGTGGACTAGCTTCCTGCAGGCTGAGAGACCATGTGGAGCAGAGATGAGCCCTCCTAGCTGAGATCCCTTCAGTCCAGCCATCCAGCCGATTGTTAGACATGTGATGCCATGCTGGACTATCCCACACCATTCAAAGTTTGCCCAGACCAGAGGAACCACCCTCAGAATTGTCAGAAATAACAAGTGTCTGTTGATTTTAGCCACTGAAAGCTAAATGATACAGACACTTGTTAACTTATAGAACACAATTGTTTTGTAAACGGTTCCGTAGAGATAGGAACATCCCCAAGGCTTAGCTGCTAGTTTGGGCTACTTAATGTGGTTTTCACTTCTTTTTGAAACATTTTCAAATTCACTACTGAACTTACAGCCTACCTTTGGGGCTTTTCAGAAGCTCTGTACCAGAACATGCTAATTTAGTAAGAATAATTTGACAAATGGGGTTATGAAATAATGAATGATTAATGCTGGGTTAGTAGAAACTTTTCATTTCTTTGGAATTAATGGTCTAGAGTTTGGGCACATTGGTCTGAATATTTTTATTTGCAGTATTTATCTGTATTTTATTGGCTACTATTGCATAGTATAATGGGGCAGGTAGATGCCTAACATAAAATGCCACATGTGAAAATTTCAGATGATAGGGTTATAAATCAACTACACCATCCAAAAACACTTTAGTGTTTAAAAAAACTTTAGGAACTAGGGAAACATACAATAAGGTTTTAAACTTAAAGTTGCTGCCAGTGGAGAATGTGTTTAAACAGTGGCTGTCAGCTCTTGGACCTGCTGAACTGATTTATTTATCACAAGAACTGGTACTATAACTGCATTTTTAATTGCGCTAATGAAAGATTTTTTCCTTTATTTTCTTTTGATACAGTATTTACAATCCATGGACTTGTGCCATTTTCCATTTGGCACTTTATGGTTTGGCATTGATCCATGGTGTCCTGTGATGTTACTCATGAGTTCCAGTGTGGTTAGCCCTGGTCAAAGGACTTTCTTATATTGCTTTTTATGCTCAGTTCAGATTGTAAAATATTTCCTGAGAAGTCAACATTACTATAATTGGATTCCTAAACCTTACCCTTCTGATTTCTGGCTACTACATCTACAAAAACATCTCCAAATTATTTCTACAGAAAGTTTAATGCATATTTTGCTATAGAAAACCTGTTTCAAGTAGCTAGTTAATTGTGAACATTTTTTAATAGTTAATTGAGCATTCAACATCTTTTGAGAAAGGATTTTAGTGTGTGAAATTAAAACCTTGAAATCACACTTGCCTAGTTATATTTAAGCTTGAAAGAAATGTCTTTAGATGGGAATGTTGCCAGTTATAATATAATATATTATTAATTTCAGGAGACCGTAAGTGTTAGCCACTTACTTAAATTAATGTTTCCTTTTTTTGGACATTCTAAAATGGTGATTATACCAGTTGGTGTATTAAAAGTCAAATGTATTTTATAATTAATTGGTGATTAAAGTCAAATGTAGTTCTTTACCACAGAAATTCCTAGAATCTTTGAATATTCTAATATGTATTGTAAAAGTTCAATTTTTCACCCAGAGATAATAACAGTTAATATCTTATTATAGTTCTAATATATTTTCAAGATTATTTTCTATGTATATCAACATTTTAATATAGTTAATCTTAGGATATAAATTTATAGTCTGCTTTTTTCACTTAAAATTATGATAGACTTTTTTTTTTTTAATCCTCACTCAAGGAGATTTTTCCACTGATTTCCAGATAGAGTGGAAAGGAGGGAGAGAGAGAGAGAGAAATCAGTGTGAGAGAGACACATTGATTGGTTGCCTCCCACATGACCACAACCAGGGCTGGGGATCGAACTGCAACTGTGGTATGTGCCCTGACTGGGATCGAACCTGAGACTCTTTGGTCCACTGGCCAATGCTCTAACTAACTGCTGAGCCAAACTGGCCAGCACTAGACATTTTATTTTTAAATTTGTTGGCTAACATCTTTTTAATGGCTGAATAAAAGACTTATGTGGTGCCCTGGCCTGTTTGGCTCAGCCATTAGAGAGTTGGCCTGTGGTCCGGAGAGACCCGGGTTCGGTTCCAGCTAAGGGCATGTACCTTGGTTGCAGTTTGTCCCCGGCCCTGGTTGGGTCCTGTGGGTGGCAGGCACTCGATGTGTCCCTTTCACATCGATGTTTCACTCTCTTTCTCTTCCTCCCACTCTAACTCAACAAAATACTGAAAAATGTCCTCGGGTGAGGATTAAAAAAAAAAATACCAAAAAAAAAAAAGACTTATGTGGATAAACTGTAAATGTTTTATCTTTTTATTCTCAAATATTTAGTTTTTTTAAATTTTTCTCTAAAATGGTTATAAACATATTTGTGTTCAAATTTTTGCATTTATGATTCCTAGAGGTTGAATTACCAAACTAAAATATATGATTTTTA